ATAATTTGAGAGGCTGCCCTCAAAATAAAAGCCTCTAGAACATTCCTCTGCAAGGTCTTGGTAAAAATGATGCAGCATTTCCCCCGTCTCAAAAATCAATCTATTATACAACAGGGCTTGGGAATAACTCTAAATCCTGAACTTCTGTTTCTTAAATCATTGGTTTTCTCCAGTAATGGTGAAAGCTGAGTGCTCTCTAGAGTATTTAATAACAAGAGTCTATAAAGTAGTAGGAAGCTAATAGAAAACCTTCAGGAGATTAAACTAGGTTCTCAGCAAGTATAAATAGACATTATGCCATTGCGGTGGGTTGATTCAGTTAATCTCCATGAAGTTTTTAGTAAAGTTTTTAGTAAACCCGATTTCCTCTCCGAGACAGTTTTTTGGCCACCATTCACATGCAGGTTTCCAATACTGGCATGCTCTAACAAGGGCAAAATTTGAGGGAATAGCATCAATACCAGGGCTGAAGAGGAATTAAAATGTAGTTGTACGGAATAGCACTGAAGTTGAGCAAAAATTATGTAATACAGCATTATGATATATCACTCAGACTGGTTGAGGTAGGAAGAGACCTCTTAAGGTCATCTTATTCAAACACCCCTGCCCAAGCAGGGCCACCTAGAGCCAGCTGTCTATGATCCCGTCCAGACAGCTTTTGAATAACTCCAAGGACAGAGATTGCACAACCTCCCTGGGCAACCTGTACCACTGCTCAGTCAGCTGGGTGGCCCCCAGCATGCACTGGTACATGGAGCTGTTCCTCCCCATGGGCAGGACTTTGTACTTAGTTGAGCTTTGTAGAATATCTAATAATTGAGGCCTGGGGAGGAACAAAGTCAACAGGGAAGAGCAGGACCGGTGGGGTCATGAGTGATACCCCAAAAAAAAGCTACAGCCATGGTGACCACCATCTGCAGTGTGAGATAGCCAGAAAGCAAAACCTGTGAGGAGTGGATTGAGAAGCCAAGGGGATGTATGGAGGGAGAGAGAGGAAACCCACTGAACAGGAAACCTTAACAACATTTTATGTCCAACTGGAAAAAGCTAATTTTGAAAAGAAGCAAAATATAGTTTTTGCCACTCAGTTTTCTAAGATGAGCAATTGGAAAAGAACAAATTCAGAAGTCATGACACTAAATTTCAACATAACTGAAATTCTCCACAGTCTGAATCTACAAATTTCCTTAATCTTTAGACATAAGCAAACAACTCAGAGATAACAGATGTGTATTACAGAATCTCATGCGCAGATGAGTAGTTCAGACTCAGAAGCATTTGTTTTTAATATAATCCATAGCACTGCTTGGCCAACATCACTGAAAAGTCTCTGCCTTCTTTCTCTTTTTTTTTTTTTTTTTTTAAATGAAGGGCTTGAATAAAGAATAAAGAAAACACTTTTATATTAATTGAGCCTCCCCAGTCACACTGCAGCTACACCCTCAAAATTGCCTGTTCTAATAAAAAATATTATGTATCTTAAAATTACAAAAATAACAGATATAAACACATACACAATGATCTCTGTAAGAAATGAACATAAAATTAAAAGGGCAACTGAGAGAAAATATACCTTTATATTATGAGAGTCTCAAAATGGTCGCTCCAACATCGGGAAAAAGAAAATGAAAGCCAAGACTTAAGTTTAAAGGATATAATAAGCAGTGACATTAAGTTTTAGTCTACCTTTTACGAAACAATTAAAAATACTTAAATTTTGCTACCGAGTATGACAGTAATCATAGACCTGCCTTAAAAACTATTGGACTGGTCTGTGCTGACTGTAGTGTACAGACAATGACACAGATTTTTCTCTGATATTTCAAAAAATACAAAAGGTTAAAACATGTTAATAGAATTTTATAACAACATCAGAGTCAAGGCTTATAGAAGGCACAAAGTGACACAGTGGACCAAAGCTACCTAACTAAAATCTGCAGAGCTTTTAACTATTTCAGAAGAAACAAGCAAAAGAAGAACTTTCTATTTCAATCAAAATAGGTTATGAGTTTCCTTAAAAAGTGATTTGTATTTTTGAACCAAAGGCCTCTTCTGTCTTCAGAACCATGGCAGGTCTGGAGCCAGCCTGCGTGCCTGCAAAACTTTCCTCTAGCTAGAGGAAAGAAAAAGAAGACGATGCTGGGACACGCTCACTAGCCCCAAACAAAGAATCCAGCACTATCAAAGCACTAGCAATACTCAATTCATGCTGCTTTGTTTCTCTTAGTGCAGGATATAAAAGCATCTTCGGGTGTATGTTTTGATAACAGAAATTAGTACCTTGTCATGTTTTAAATCTGCAGCTGAAAGACTTCTTAAGTGAACGTGACACTATTTGAAATGTCCCATGCTGCCACGCTTAAGATATGCCAATCACAATTAATAGCAACAGATTTGATATTCCAAAACAAATAAAAACTGCAGAGTTTTTCTGCTGATTGAAGAGTTGATGACTGAAAACAGAAGCAAAATTACCACAATAGCCAGTTAGCCTGTCAATGGAAATTACTTTCATTTGTCTGTATTCACAAGGGTTAGTAAACAATAACACTTCAGCTAATATAGTTTTTGTTATATTCAAATTGAATGTGAAATACAGGCTGACATTGTAAATGGATCTCTTACTCTCTTGCACTGAATTTCTGAGGCCTTCTGAGTCTTTATGCTTAAATTGGTCTGTAAGTTTCATATCTTTCATTATAAACCCTATTGAATTTTTGTCATTTCTCCTTCTAACAAATTAAGGACTGTTCTCTTACTGGTTGAAGGAGAGATGTATCTATAGCTTCCCCTCACTCAGAAAGATCCAAGTGAACATTTTATATTATTCTAGTGGATTCTAAAGAGTTACGCTGAAAATCCCCTTGGTAAGGTGGTAAGACCTATGTAAATAAATGCCTCTTACCTTCCTAGTTCTGTGAATGTCTTTTTCTAAAGTCCCACAACAGTTTTGGTGCTCCCAGCTGCCATGTCGCACCAGCAGATTTTACTAACACTGTTGCACCTCATGACCCTCTTACCATGGGGAGTGGATGAAGATCTCCTTGAGCAAATTCCTTTTCATTGTTTTTTCCAATAAATTCTGGTTTTGGTTTTTTGTTGTTTGGTTTTTTTTTTTGTCATCTGGTCGTATTACTTTTCATCTAATTTCTTCCTCATCTTCATGCTTAATTCATGCTTCCTCATCTTCATGCTTCCCTCTAAGCCATCCTCCAGAACTCATTTGCTGACTAGTCAGAAAAACCTTTTCTTTGTGAGCTCATTGAGCGTTTATTGAAGGATTACCTTGTGGGCTATTACTATGGATCTATGACTTTGGAAACTTTGGGACACTGGGAAACACAGGCCTACTTGGATGGACATAAGGCAAACAATTCGGATAATAACTCATGAGACTGAAGTGTGTGATAAAACTAGCTTTGCCTCCTTTAACCTTCTCTGGGCAGTCTCCTATAGAGCTTTTAGGGACTAATGATGTTGGGAGTACAGCAGGGATGCCAAGGCTAATACCAAGCAATAAACCTATGTAAAATGACTTGCATTCACGCAGTAAAGAAACTAATTCACAAGTTTTAACCTAACAGGCAGACAGATGTAATGAGTCTAGTTCTGTAACGGACCAACTGCTCTCTCACAGTTGGATTCCCTAAACAGTTACATTGGGAATATTTTGGACAGAAATAAAACTTTATAAACCCACCCACATACATTCAAAAAACTTTTCTAGCTCTCAGCAGGCTCTGAAGTTTTCGGTTTTCTATAAAAAAAATCCACAACACACACAAAATGATCTCTTCAGCTTTCCTCATCTGGCCATCACTGCTCAATGCAAATGAGAATTTAAAAAGTAATGTCTCTAGGTTGATGTGTTCAAAATCATACCTCTTGTAGAAATTCTCAATTTATTTTTTATTGGATGGTGGTGTTAATTTAGCTTTTTCCCCTTCTAGGAGTTCCATACTTGATTATCATGCATACCTTTAGCTTTTATAGATGTCATCTGATTGCTTGATAGGGAATAATGTAATTTCTAAATTACATGTTGCCGGTGTTATATAAATATGATGCTTTTACCTCCAGTGTTCCATCCAAATTCATGTTAAAATCCAAAAACTATCTTGGAGTTTTGACGCTGAAGTGGCTGTGGCTTGTGGTAGAGCAGATGCTCTGTGCAGTTACAAATAGGTGTACCTGCAGTGCCAGTAGTGACTGATGATACGGATGTGCCAGAAGGTATTAGTTCTGTTTTGTTGTCAAGCGCTATTATCTAAATCTTCTTTGTTCTCATATGAAGTGTCTTCTTATTCCACTTTGCATTACAACCCTAGTTTATAGACCAGAATTTCAAGTAGTATATACCAAGCCAAGATCTGTAGTCCCTGATGTCTTTAGCATGTGTGGTTAAAGCTCTGCCAGAAGAAGTAGACTGTGGAGGATTTGGGAATATAAATAAAATTGGGGAATAGCCTGGGCTACACCAGATGCTGGAGGGGATTGAGAAAGTATCCAGAAAGGTCAGAAATGGTTGAGCCTAGACATTATATAGGAATATTGAGATAAATCAGAAGAGGGAGGAAAGAATATCAGGTACAGTAAGACCGTTTAGCACTGCTAACTAGTCTAAACTTAGTTCAAAAGCCAAATCCCAACATTTGCTGTCTGACTGAATAAGAACATAGCACTCACATTAACTATGAATAATTCTCCAGCAGATGTTTTTGTTTTTTTTTTTTTTTTGGTTTGTGGTTTTTTTTTTTTTACAGGAAAGTAATCTTTCTCTAATTGGACAACTACAAATCAAAGCCAGCTAGCATGTAGTGCTCCGAACGTCCCATGGTTTCCACATTGAGCAGCCAAATGTCTTAGAAACCTTATAGCACAGGACTTTCCAATGCTCCCAGTCCCTTGTGGGCTGTGGGAGGGAGGCAGAGAAGAGGAAGGTCTCTACAGCAATGAGAAGGATATGTAGGTTGGAAGCAGAGACTCCCTGTGTCTCTTACCTTGTTGCACAAAGGATCCATACACGAACCACATGGAGTTGTAGAGGGTTGTGGAGGTCATGGATCCCATCTGAAGGCGTGGCGGGTTGAGCCAGTTCAAGAGGTAGACCAGCAGCCCTACTAATAGCACAGTGCCAGCTATGCATGCCCACAGGGAGAGGTCAAACGGTGCCAAGCAGGCAAACATGTCCACTGTCTTCTCTGCCTTTCGAAGCAGCACGCCCACCGAGTAGTCCATGTAACGCGTTGTGAAGTCCACCACATTTTCCCTGTCAGGTGTGATGGTTAGGGCAGATATGCCTATATCAGCTCTCTGAGGAAAGAAGAGAGAACAGCATGCGTAAGTAGGAGCTACAGAAAAGATCTTTGTACCTCTGTGATTTATAGCAGCTAAGCTTATGGAGAAGCAGATGCAAGGCCAATGTCTTAAGCATCACCTGTATGAACATAGAAATGTGATTAAGGCTTGAACAGAATAGCAGTAGCACATCTTAGCTTCTGTAAGCAAACCTCACTTAGTGGACTTGGACACATTAGCACTCTACGTTTTTTTTTCCAAGGAATCAAAATGCTTCAAATACAGATAACAGCTGGAGAAAATCTACTTCTGGTCATTTTTTTCAGCCTCACTTACTGAAGCCATTGTTCTCACTGTGACAAAAGGTAGACCATGTGTATAGTATTTCCAATCAGAGAAGAGTAGATATTCCATGCAGTTCCTTACTATTTATTCCTCTGTATCCTTCTGTTAAGCAATTCCTCTCTATGCCAACCTGTTCTGCAGCTGCCTTGGACCTGCTTTATGCCATTTACATTTTTTTGTAATTTAAGAACCCATTTCAGATGAGAAGAGGATGAATAACATTCTTTGATCTAATCATTGTACTTCACAGCACTGCTGGGTATTGGGTCTCCAGAGACACCAGGCACAACTACAGCAGGTGCTATTTTACTTTTCACACATCCAATTAGAACTGCAGTGAAAACAAGAAAGGGTATTTAAAGCAGACGCATTAACACCATTTTAAAAAGCCTGAATACTGAATAAAAATACTGTAAATTTTAGATATTTTAATATGAAAAAATACTTAAAATACTCTAAGCTGCCACTAATTTGATTTAATCCATTCCTGTTCTGCCTAAAGCAGCATGTGGTCCTTTGGAAGAGGGTGAGGAGAGCACAAAGGCTTGAAAGTCTCAGTACTGTGTCAAATTTTATTAACTCTCTTGGATTTCTTTCTTCTTGCCCGAAGAAGGCAGAGATTACTAGCTCCTTAAAAATGTGATGTGAAATATTAAGTGAGAAGGTATGGCAGCTGAAACTGATTAGAATCAAATTTGCAACTAAGCTGGGCTCTTTTATTACCATCTGTAAAACACCCTGCAGCCCATGGTACAAACATACTTTTAATTACAGTGCACTTAAGACTGGTTTAAATGATGTTACTTTAACTTTATATTAATTGTTCACTGGCTTGAGAGAGTGGTGGAAAATAGCTGGAGGCTGATGATTTGGACAAAAAAGTGTTTGAAAATATTGATTTGCTTAAATGTCATGAATTAGAGCTTCAGCTTTAATTTGTGGGTTAGATTCTCCAGTGTCTTAAGTGAAGCTGTGTTGATGTGCACAGCTGAAATTCACTTCATGTCCCTTTTGACAATTTTTTGTGAGTGATGATTTAACTGCCCTTTGTCCATGAGCAGCAGCCAATTTAACCAGTAATCCCAGTTAAAAGTTTCATCAGAATTGTCTATGGAAACATTCGGATCATCCAACTTTCTGTCCTCGGATTATAAAACTTCTGGTCAACAGGTGACTCTGCTAACAGAGCTCCACTGAGCAAGTTGCAAAGCACTCATCATTTGAACTGTTTTCCACAATTGTGAATATGAACATATTTTTAAAATAATTTACAAATGTTAAAGTCCAATGCTCTATGCCAATAGCTGTTAAATAGGAAAATACGGTTATATTTAATAAATGAGGGGTTTGGTTTGGTTTATTTTTTTTTTTCCTGAATGTATATCAAAAAGCGAAATAGGAATTCAGAGTTAGAGGAAATCACATGGAAATAAAAAGTTCTAGACTTAGCTCTTGCTGTTTAACTGTAGCTGTGTTCTCAATTACCAGCTTGTTACTAAAACACTTCCCTACCCCGCTAGACTATTGTGAGATGCTAATTCAAGTTGTATTTGTCAGACGTTTAAAGGTTGCCCACTGAAAAGCAGTATCATAAGTAAAAATACTTTTACCAAATAACAGATTACTCTAGGACTGAATGACTGACAGAATTTTTTCTGCTCTCCCTCCCCCCTCTTTTTTAAAGAGAAACAGACTTCTCCATCAAATGCATTGAAGGGCTTTTCGTGAAAAAGCATGTGGTATTTGTGGAAATACTGCTTCTATTTTACATCTCTCTAAACTCCCCAGCATTATGGTTCCACTCTGGTTATCAACCACCTATGACAATGCTGTCCTAATGGAAGTGTTGCATTTCCTTTGTCATACTGCACCAGCAACTGTGATACAATTATGTCTTATGTGTGGTAGTAAAGTAAAAATTGGAAAGGAGACAGGTAAGTCCTGACTTCACACTACTCTAAGTTACACTGGAATATGACAACTCATACTCTTAACTTACTAAATCAAATCATAAATACCAGTTTACTAGAAAACTATGAAATCAAAAACTAGAAATCAAGCTTCAGCTCAACTTAATAGTTGATTTACTGATGGTGAGCATTCTTGATTACATATAGATTCTGTCAACTTGTATCAAAATTGTAAAATGAAAAAAATTAAATGCTTGTCATTAACATGTCAAATTGGATCAGAGAAGACATCAGTTTGAAGAAGTCAAGGTTCACTTAGTGCTTCTGAGATAGAAAGGCAAATGCATGCAATTATGTCAATATTTAGATGGAAAGCTGCCAATCTGAATTACAAACATGTAAAACTCTCCACGCACTAAGTTTTCACAGTGCTAAAATCAACCGACTATAGCATCTTAGATCTTTGTTTAACACATTTCTGGTGAATGAAACTGTGACTCCTGAAACTGACTGACTGAAAAAAACAGCAGAGGGCATTATTTTTCTTTACGTGACCTGCTTAAAATAAATTTATCCTAATTTATCTTTAATTTATCCTAAGGTCATTGTGGAGCAACATTACCAGAATCAGAAAATCCATAACAAATGGCCAAATGAGTCGGATAGCTTTGTTACTGGTGTCACAGAACCAGCCCATCAGCAAAGCCTTGAGACCCCTGAAATGCCCCTATGCTATTACTTAAGAAAGCACATCTCATACACACAGAAAGCAATCTTATGATGATTCCTGTGGTTCATGATCAAGAACAGGGAAAATAAATGAATCTACTTTAAATTGCTCCCGTGTGGCCTTTCGTTTTATTCCTTTTCAATGTTAAATCAAGTTTCAACAAATGCTAGAAGCAATAAAATCACAGTCCCACATGTTACACAGTTATTAATATGGACATGAAAAAAATAATCAGAGAGATATTTTTGCTCAAGTTAACACACATAAATCCAAATAGTTCTCTTTTTAGTCAGCTATTATTTCTAATTCTCACTTTGTCCTCCCTGTATGTTTTCTTCTTTCCTATGCTAATCCCCTAAGGAAGATGCGTTAAAAAAAAGAAAGCTTTATAAAATGCTTCTACTTGGCTTGCAGTTTCTCTTAGAAATGTTTAGGCATGTATTTCATTTTCCTTTTCTGATGGACATCAGTGGAATCAGGCAGCTTTCTCTATGCTATTTGATTCCTATTGCTCTTAATTGGAAAAAAATCCCAGCAACAAACGTAGCGTGGTAAAATGTGGAAAATAATGGCTGATAGTTAGGAGTATCACTGGGAAGTCCAGAGCCATGCTGGAAAGACTACTGTCCTCTACCAGAAATGGCATTAGCCACTTCTCTTGCCTGTCACACAGGATCATCCTTCTGGTGATGTGGACTTTAGGGCAACTAAAGGAAGAGCTGTGAAAACACCCAGACAACTAACAGCAAGAGAAAGATTTGCAGTAAAGTGGTGCTCCCTTGAGTTGGTTTTAACTTCTCCATAGAAAGCTGCCGCTTTCTGAACTAACCTGTTTGTGAGCCGAAGCTCTTGTGGGATGCCCTGAAAGCCCTGGTCGTTCAACAGAAGCAAGAGCTCCACAAGAGCACCTCCCTCAAAGAGCATTTAACCTCCCAGATCCTCTGGTTCAGGAGAAGGTATGTGGAGCAAGGGTGTACCTAATATAGGTCTTGACAAGCAAAGGAGGGGAGGCTTGAATCAGTTTCCAAATTCAAATTAAAGACCAGTTGCTTTGATGTGCCGATTCCAGCTCCTATTTTAGCAACCAACAGAGACCTTGTCTTCAAAGCTGGAACAGAGTGAACTTGGCATAGTCTCCCATCTGTGAGGCCAACTGTGGACCTAGGGCATGTATTTGGCACTGCAGGCCTTCTGCCCGGCACTGCAGCTCGAGCAGGGCTGCTGCAAATGAGAGCAGCCCATGACTGCTCTCACTGATACCAGGACCTGCATCAGAGCACACTGAATCAGCTTAATGCAAACAGCCAATTTTGAATCTTGAACACAGAAATGATGTGCTTGCTACAGCAATTCCCATTTCATATAGCACATCTTCCATAGTGGCCACAGACATCCTCTCAACGAGAGATACTCAAAAAGAGAAGGCAGCTATTTTCCATTACCCCTGAGTGGGAATTGTCTTTTGTAGAAACACATTGTTCCCAACTAATTTCTGGCTCATGCACTAACAGGCAAAGAGCACTCCCTCTGTTTCTGGATTTCCTCCACACGTTGGCCAGACTATCATGTAAGGCTTGGTTGGGAAAACAGGGAAACATTCTGTTTTAAACAGGTTAGACCTTTAATTTAAAACTATTCTCTGCTCTTTTGCTTCCCCTGACAAAGTTGTCAAGCAGACAGATATTTGAGTTCTGGAAGCAGAACTCAGTTCAGAGTAAATAAGAAAGCAGCCTTTCAAGAACAGCTTGCACTTGGTAAGGGGTAGATATACATTGGCTGCTTGCCCAGAGGTTCTCTTCTACCTTAAGAGGGAGAGGACACAGTGAAGCTTTACTGTTGACTATGTAAGAGGTAAGGAAGATAAAAAAATTATACACTGCCATAGTATTGGGAAAATATGCTGTTTGAATTTCAAATGCAGTTCCATTAACTCTTCATACTTTCTAACTGTACAGAAATATTTCATATCCATCAATACTCATTTACAACAAAATTATAGCAGACATGTAGATCTGTTCCACTCATGGCATCTACGTACAGAACTAGGTGGTTACCACCTTAAGGGTGTTATTAGAGTTATATGTGCCTCTGCCTGCTAAGGGGACAAGAGTGCCATACATATTTTTCAGTGAACAATTTGATTTCAGTTGTTACGAGTTCTGCTTTATGAATCATTCATTTCAAATAAATAAAAAATGTTCCAGACCCATTTCCATCTCCAGAGCCACCTAGGACTAAGAACCCTCCATCCTGTGTTATGCAGTGGCCCGCTGAGTACTGTAGGGAGCAGGGTATAGTATAAGATCAGATTTTAAAAGCAGAAAAAAATGATAAAAATAAATCAATAGGCCATTGTTGTGTTAGGTCTCATAATTAGACAAGGGATTTTTGCCGGCAGGTTTAGAAGATGGAGGAAAATATGTTTTTCTAAGTGGCTCCAGCTTACCATCTATAATCACAGCATTCCACATGCTAGCTTTGTAAAGGCATAGGGAGATAGCAAAGGTTTATTACTACAGTGTAGATGTATGAACTGTGCCATGGGTACGGTTTGTGTGGTTGTTTTCCGTTCCAGCAGAGCGGGTAAACCTATCACTAATATTATTGTTTTTTCATCTTTATTTTATTTTTTTGTCCCTTTACTGTAAGACTTACTTTCCAGCATTTTGCTAACTTGCTGAAGTATTAATGATTAGCTCCTGTGTCCGGCTCCTAATTCTTTGCTGTGATTATCAATTAAATTCCACCTGCAGATTTGGAAAAGCACTTCCATAAACAACCAGTAAGTTATTTACATTAGTATCTACTGCAGTTATTTAAGGAAAAAAAAACACAAACAAATGTAGATCTCTATAGCTGCAAAAGCTGCCTCTACAGGTTGACTAAGAGCAAATAAAATATATATGTTCACAGCATAAATGAGATATCAGCAGAATAGAGTCTGCATAGCTCTGTCTTTCTCTCTTAATGGGAGAAATTGCAAAAAGACAAGATGTAAAGAGTGGGAAAAAGAAAAATATGGCACATTTATTTGGTTTAATTTATTTATGATACAATATTGAACATTTAATGTAAAATTAAGTAGACTAAATGGTTTATTAATTACAGAACAGAGAACATACTACTCTTGATTCATACATCTACATAATGTAAGTGTTATTATATATCAATAAAACATTTTCCGTTGATTATATACTTCATGTATTCATCACACCAACATTTTTCTAAGTGCTATACATTATTTATGTAATGTATCACTAATTACTGCAAGACCAATTTTTCCTCTTTCAAACAGCCTCTTCAACTCATTTGTGTCAGGTCTTGCCAAACTAATTAGGATGCTGTGCATCCCATTATTTGACTGTATTCAGATTTCATACTGCTGTACTTTGGTTGGAAAAAAGAGATTGCCCTGCTTCATAAACAGTTAGCACCAAGCACTATTTCTACCTTTTTCTTTACCGCCCAACGTGCCCAGGCATCCTATCAAATGCTGGTGACACAGGCAATGAACAAAGTGCTATTGCTGACTCAATAAAAAAGGTTACTGGCTGATACAAGCATAATATACCACATATTATTTAGCTTTATCACATGATCCTATTTAGTTAGTTATTAATAATCTTACCTTAAATACCAGTTCTCCTATCAGTCCGTTCCATGACCCATCATCCTGAGGACTCCCATACTTGTGGTCTGGTGCAACGTAAATTTCGTATTTAAAGCCAAGGTAAGTGGCCAAGGCTTCCAACACGTCTATTGAGAAGCCCTGATACTTCTTTGGTTTTCCCAGAACATTTTCAGACACCATGACAAAGGGCTCTTCCTAAACAGAAAAAAAAGGAGGCAACTGTCAGTAAAGAAATTACACACCACATTTAGATGCTGGGTTTTTTTTTTTAAAGTAAAGGAGGAACTATTTAAACACTGTGTATACAAAATTTTCCTACAAAACATTGTTAGTGGTGCCTCTTGCATTCTGCAGAATGCTATTTTGTTATGTATTTACTTCAACAGAGAACTTTTCTTCACTGCTGTGTATTTCAGCAGTAAATCATCTGTTGTAACGTTGCAACTGAAACGCTTTTCAGTAATGCCTTCTGTGCGCACTTATGCTCGGCAGGGCAGACATGCACTCATATGGCTGTCCATAAATACAGAGGATTCCACAGCGCTGCCAGTTTCCACTGGTTGGGCAAACACCGTGTCTGACGAACACAAATCCTAGTTCATGCTGTAAGGAATTAAAAACATGGCAAAAGGAGCTGCACCACAGAATCATGCGTTTCTTTTGTCCTTCTACTGTAATCTGAATCTGAATATAAACTGGTTGACTTTCGATTAGTTTCAGGAGAATCAATTATGGGACTTGTGTTTGTCCATTAGAACAATTGGTGAATATTTATCAAAAAGATGCCCGCCCATAATAAAGGATGCAAACAGATACTGAGAGTTGAAATTGATTGGTAAAATTTCCAAACAAAATGTTTTTCTCTCTTTCCTTTTCTCCAAGATCTCTAATTGTTCTCTCCATTTTTGTATTAACATTTCCAATAGCATTCTCAGAAAGAAATTTTTTTTTTGCTAACTTCAATTTCTTTTTTCCCCTCTGTGTTATTCTTCCTGTTGAGTATTTCATTTCTAGACGTTCTCCTTCATATCTTTTTAAAATGAAACACAAAAAGAGATCATATTTCTGAGCACAAAAAAATATATCTGCTATAGATGGATCTCACTTACGCTTGTTCTTCATTTTCTCTAAGAATATCTATCTGATCTACCTAAGTAGAGCAAAAGTATCAAATTCCCCCCAAAAGCATGAAGGCATTGTAACTTAGGTGTGGTTTTTTTTTTTTTTCAACTACTCTACATTTCTTCCTTTTAATTCTTTACAAGGTGGTGTAATTTAATATGAGCTCATCAGAAATATCTATTCTGAGGTGTAAAAAGTTAGTTCTGGCTTGTCATGGCTTGGCCATGATGGGCACCTGCAATCACTTCCTAATCACTTCCTCCTAGTCTGCATAACCCACAAGAATACAGATGAAACTAGAATTGACTTTCCATACTATTTGTGGCCCAAACTTTAATTGTATCTCCAGAGGCATTTCTGTTGGTGTTCAAATGATTTTTAAAAAATTATTATTCTACTACTCTGTCAATGATTTTGAAGCCAAAGCACTTTTCACAAATATTTCATGAATACTTCACTAAATATTTTTAGTTTCTTAATATGTTACTCTATATGAACAGGTATCACTGAATTGCAGGCAGGATGATCTCAGAATAAGAAAACATCATTTTTAAATGCTTGAGTTAACATTCATGAAGATAGCCACTTGCTGAGGATGCTGCCAAAGAAGCAAGGATGCAGCCAGAATGCACTGGCATGATGTTGTTTTCTGACTGGAAATGCAGAACTAAAAAACACCCCAAAAAACCCTAAACCAAACAAAAACCCAAACCCAACCAACCAAAAACCACCCAGAAAAAAAAAAAAAAGAAGGGTTGTCGGTCTCAAGTTATTATTTCCCACTTGTCAGAGAATTTCTTTCTTACAAATTTTCCAAGATCAGCCAAATGGAATAAAAATGGAGGACAAATGCAAGTGATTTTTTTGTAGTAGTACTCCAGCACTTGGGTTCCAAGAACATTGAAGGAATTGAGACTAAGTTGAGGAAAGCCTCTCCTAAATGAAAACACAGAGTGAATTCAGCTTTGCTGATCACTTGGATGAGAAATTACCTACATACAGACTCTAAACTGCTGGGAAAAAATGCTTCAACAAAAAAAAAGAAATATTGTAATGTGTCAATCGAAGCACATTATGCACAAAATTGTAAAGAATTCTATGTATAAAGGGTGTTTTAGAAGTTGCTAATTTTCGTATTAGAAAGGATTTATTCTTATCAATTCTAAGTCATTAAAAAATACTTGCTCATAAACTGAATTTTTATTCAGTTAGTTAAAAAGCAATTGCTAATTGCACTGATTTAAAACACTGTTTAAAATGCAGTGTCATTACTAATTTCAGTCTGTTTGCTGTTGAGAGGTTTAAAAGACCCCACAAATGTCCAGTGTGCTATACATTTAATGAAATACAAATAATCAAATAGCTTTATGCAAAGCAACTAACACTTCCAATTTCTATTAAAGCCTGGAGCAGCAATATATTTAATCATATTCTAAACAAAACAAAACTATAGCTATGTTTTTTTGCAATTGTTTACATTTCTCAGAAGTCATTGAAAGAGGACAAGAATATTTGTCTTGATTTTTTCCCCCCATAAATGCTGCAAGCTGAAACTATGCCAATTGTCTTTTTGTTCACTGGGAGAGTGTTATGGGAGCTCCTATTGAAGGAGATATAAATCCCTACAATATTCCTGTTAAAATTATTGTCTCCATCCTTGAGAAAGCAAATCTCAGAGAAAGAAAATATGCAAAACAAAAACAGTCAATACATTTCTCACCTACTGAATGGAAAAGTAATTCGTACAAATAATAAGCTCATAGAAATTCAATGTCAAAGACTCACAAGCTAACTAATGAGTTTGGAGGTGACAAAATTCATCTGGATGATGAAGCTTCCATTCAACCCCAATAAATTCAAGGAAATCCTGACACACTTTCTCTCCAAAGCAAGTGGTAATTCAGACTAAATAAGCAGGTCTTTCTCAGAGAAGCCATACAATTACCATCCTTGGAGACACTCAGAACTCACCTCGACACAGTCCTCGACAACCTGCTCTAACATTAGCCCTGCTTCACCCAGATGCCACCCAAGAGTCCCTTCAAACCTAAATTGTTCCAGGACGCAGTGAAGTGACCAAAGGAGGGCCACCGTTCCTGCTTTTCCTGTTCTTCCACTTTTGGAGATTTTCTAGGGGACTTTCTTTACCCTGAATGTGCCTCCTTTTCAACTGAATGCAACAGTACCAGACCCATGATAAGGGCTCTTCAAAATAGCTCCACAGTTATTCTCAGACACATGCCAATAATTTGGATGTAATAGTTGGTGGGAAGTAATCTTTTATATCTTTTATAAGACCACCTAATAAAAATTAAAAATAAGAAAGATGAGACAAGCTTTTGGGCAGAGAAGGTCTTCACATTTGAAAACAGAAGGAGCAGTACTCAAGCTAAATGGCAGAAAAGAACAATTACTCAGAGCTTAACTTAGTTATGTTAATCAATTGGACATTCATAGAGAAGCATTGGTTTGTAACTGTGCTATAGAGGTGTGTGATAAAATCAATTCAGGGCTTAGAGGAGGCAGGGAGGGAGAGCAAGAGAATAACTGCTTGTGAAGAGTTCAGGGACAACTTACATGTAGGGAACAAGCATAACCCTAAACCCAGAGTCTCTATTCAGGATGCTTTTTAGCAGCCAGTAGAATAGTGACTCAAATCTCAAGCTTTGATAGTCATCTTTTAGTTCTTCAATGAAAATCAGGTTTTGGAGGTTCTGGTGTTCTTGTATAGATTCTCTCTTTTTGGACAAATTATAGAAAACTCTCTTGAAAGAAAAGGTATCATTCAAATCTTCAACATAGCACTCTAACTAAATATGTGAGAGGAAGAAAAAGTTGCATTTAGTGGCCTGTTTACGACAAAGTGGTGGTTTCAGCCCAGCTGTTCATGATTTTACGTGCACACCACATCATCAGGACATCACTGAAGGGGCAACAGGACAGATTTTCTCTTAGAAGGGTAGATTCTGTGGCTTTAAAATGAGACTTATTTCAGGATAGAAGCTGTATGGAGCCATGATACATTTATGAGAGTCTTGTGCTTTCTCTAAAGATAAAAATGTTAGAAAAATGCTAGAATGGACTTTATAAATGAAAATGCAAGACAAAATGTTTGGGATTATTCTCCTGCTTAGCTGAATCTTCTTTTGCCCTTAGCACAGGCAAAAAAACTTCCTAGTCAAGCAGCTATACAGAAATTATTAAGTAAAGAAAAAGTTATTGGCTTGTGAGATCAGAGAAACTGATAACTGCTGGGATTTATAACACGTATCAGGGCTTGACTCTAAAACTGCAGATGGATGGCCTTCTGTGCTTCTACTGTTTGAAAGAGAGTTTTGAAATGAGGTAATTGTATGGATGGTTAGAATTCACAAAGCATATGAAAATGACCTCTGTGTCTACTCATTAGAAAATTCTGAACACAATGGGATATAATACTTTAATATTGACACTCTATATTCATTAAATGGGACACTCTATTCATTAAATCTTCTCTTCTTCTCTACTGAAAGTAGAAAGAGAGAGAGGAAAAAAGAGAAGCAAGAAATGAAGCTCAGTTGCGAGCAAGGCTGTCAATCCGTACTTAGCACCGATTCTAGAAACAGTGGACAAGCACATTAAATGACTCACATATCCCAAGCAGAGCCTCAGCAATCATACGAAATAAACAATCACTGTGACACTTTGAAGGTCCCATCACCTGCAAGTGCTAAGAAACTGTTCCCAAACCTGAAATTCACTCTCATTACTGGATCTCTTGACTCCATTACAATAGTTGCTGCATGACCAAGCACACACATTATAACCAAAAAGTCTCATAAACTGTAACCAAAACATTTTCAAGTACAGGACTCTACTGTCTTGTTGCGAGGCATAATTACTTTTTTCTTGACTCATAAAATAATTAACCTCCCACTTTTAGATGTTAGCCATTTTGCATTTCTTTCATCAAAAGAATTCAGTGAAATATGCAGCCCCAAATACTTGATTTCCTCAAGTGCTTTATTGACCACAGTTTTGGGGATTTCATTTGGCTAGGAACAGCACAGCAGCTTGTAGTTTTTAATTGAACA